GTCACAGCGTATGACGTTTACGTCGGTCGGCGCCATTTTTGGTGTCCACAGACCAAAACAAACTAGTTAGAACACCGGTGTTTTCTTTGCGTTACCGACCTAAGTGAAGTTGTTTTCAAGTTGGATATTGGATATTCGTGCTCCGCGGAGTAAGGCGCGTTTAGCTAAAGGTTGATCTGATTTATGAATGCTAATTTCGGCCAGCTTTTCTCTACCGCTCCCTCCTCAAGGGCACCGCAGTGAAGTTAGTTTTAAGTTGGATATTCGAGCTCCGCGGAGTAAGCGGCATTTAGCTCAAGGTTGAACCGATTTATGAACGCTAATATCGGCCAGCGGCTCTCCACCGCTCCCGACCCGAGCTCCGGGGAGTAACTGGCATTTAGCTCAAGGCTGATCCGATTTATGAACGCTAATGTTGGCCAGCTGTTCTCCACTGTTCCCGGTACTATAGATCAACTGGGGGCTAAATCAACTGGTGGTGGCAGCTGGAAAAGACTGATGTTTCTGTGGGCGTGGCTTTTTAGGACCCCTTTACCGAACCAGGAAGTAAACAATGCGATAAGCTTAAAGAACTACAAATCTTTGCAAAAATACTATCCGATTCCGTAAAACAACCACTAAGATCTCGGGAATAACTAATTAAAAAGACTTTATTGGTCTAATATGGTATGTTGCCTTTTTTTTTTTAAAGTTCATCTGCAAAACCATCAAAACATGTAAATTACGCAGAACTTGTCCTGACTTATGTGTTGCTTCAGAGGTTGAAACTCGTCAAAGGAAGATCGAAATAGATCTCGATGTGGCATGAGCAGATCTCAAAGCAAAGATTATTCCCTGAAAGCCGACATAAATGTTGAAGAGCCTTGGGATTAAAAATGAAATGTTTAAAAAGATCGACTGGCTGTGTAATTTTTCCACATATTCCTCATATTGTGATATTTCAAATAGGTATCCACAGAAACTATAGCGAAATCTTTTTAACTGTTTCTGTAATGTTACACTTTATTTCCTAGCTCATTTACAGAAGACATGGCTACCGCAGATCTATGTGGCAGTGTCATTTCTTCCTTATTGTTGATATTTTTTCTCGTCTTTATTCTTTTCATCAAGTGACCGTAATTCTCAACCATATGAGACATCGCTGAAAAAACAATTGTCTTATATACTTTTACATCAGAAACAGGTTAAAATCTTCACTCGAACTGAGATTCTGAAAGTGTCACCAGTTAATCCAGGCCTGGTTCTTAAAGCGCGGGGTGTCCGTTAGATGACAATCAATGA